ATTTTTGACCAGCCTGGTTTTCCACCAGTCTCTCACACATAGAATTACACAATTGGCTGGGGCTTTGTAAAGCTGGGAAGATAGGCTCCATTTTGCTCTGAAGCACTGGGCGGTTGTCCCTGCTGGAAGCAAATGGAATAAGTTCTGACTGAGCATGGAAAACCGCATCATTCCTTATTTCTAAACCTGACAGTCCCTTTTCTATGCTATAAGACAATCTGAAAAAGTATAGTGCACGTGAGAGGTGCCAGGTCCTTCAGTTTTGGAGATGTAAACCTCTTACGAGAACACGTAAAGTACAGGCTGCTTAGGTGTAAGCTTCCTTCTGTGTCCCACTCACTTGCTGCCCTGGAGGAACCTCTTCTCAGAACAAAAAAGATTAGTATCTGTAGGATCTTGCAAACAAGAAGCTGAATTAGTGTGGGCCCACCAGAGTGGGTTTCAAAATGAAATTCAGTTAGGGCCTGTAACAGGGTGCATGGCTCAGGGGCTGCAGCCCAACTGCAGGCAGTTAGAAGGGGATATGCTTCCTGCCTTGGAAGACTGGGCCAGCTGATAGGGATGACTGGCTAGCCCTGGAGGAAGTCAAACACTGCCAGAGAGGAGAGTTGAGGAAGAGAAGGAAGGCTGTAGTGCAGAGGACAGCACAGAGCTGGGGTTGCCTTCTCAGGGTCTGGAAAAGGACCACAGGGTTTGATTTAACCATTTATTGTTTATAAATTTGTTTGTTTTATGTTTTAGGTCACTTTCTGTGGGGACGAGTTTGCCCCAGGGAAAATAAAACTGCTGTGAAAAGTGACAACCTGATACATAACCATTAAAAACCAGACTGAAGCAATGAAAGGTCACTGGACATCCATTGGATGATATATAATTTCAGTGTATACCAAAATGGGCCATTTCTGATCTGTGTTTTGGAAGTGAAAGGGACCAGGATCCATAGCCAGTCCCATATCCAGCGCTACCAGCAGACCTCTTTAGAGAGCAAGTTATGTATTTTTGAAACAAGGAATGGAAAGGAGTTTCATGGCTATAGTTTAGGTTGAAGGCAAACTGTATTATCTGGCATTAACCCCTTGAAAAGAAGCTGTGGTCACAGTCTCTCTCCTCCCCGGAATGAATGAGTACAAAGTGGCATATTTAGAGAGGAAAAATTTTGGAAGCAGAAGGCTCCAGAGCTTTTAAACAAAGGGTAAAACTATTTAATTCCTAGAAACAAGAGGAAAAGCTTGATGCTGCAATAGTCAGACAGAAAGCTAAGTAGCATGTGTGACAGAAGCAGCAAGAAGAATTGGACACCAACCAACCAACCCCCCCCCCCCCCCCAA